GACTCAGAATCCCCTCCACCTCTGCAGCCCTGACAGGAGTGAGGGCTAAGTCCAGGGGTGTGCATGGTCAGAGCAAAGCAGGGAATTCCATTTGCAGGGCCCTGCAGGGAAAAAAAAAAAAAGAGCAAGTCTAAAAAGCTAGGCAACTTAAAATGAGGAAAAACAAAGGTAGCAGAGGGGAGAATTTTTACAAATGAAATAGGGAGCAGACAATGTTTTGCTATAACAGGGTCCGCTTTTGAGATGAGAAATGTGACCCTGTACTTTGAGCTTGGAGCACTTTTCACATTGTCATTTGGAGATGGTGGAGCAGGCAGCTGAATATGTGAATGTGTAGATATTGCCTTTGGGACCCTGGGAAGCAGAGAGAAAACCCGTGCTGATATGACAATGAATGAAGCCTTCCTAAATGATTCCAAGTAACACCATTGCAATCTTCAAGGACAGCCACATTATCAACATATTTTATTTGACTTTTTTTCTTTTTTATTCAAGAATTTTATTTATTTTTTCTTCTGTGTAACTTGTCAAATTTCTTCTCAAAGATATATGCTATGGAAGTATATATCCATCTTAAAACACTTCACTATTCGCATTTTTTTTTCTTCTTCAAGCCATCAACTCAAAAATTCTTCCTTGCAGATTTTAGTAATTTGCCTCCCACGGCAGTGTAGCTGCTATTCATTAAATGACAAACATCTCTGGAACATTCCATATTAGGGATTCAGACGCACTCAACTCAGGAAATCAGTTGGCTCCTAGTCAAAGACTCATTATTTTGTAAATACTAGTTTATGAAGGCCATTAATGTACTGGGTGGTTGAAGACATCCTAATATATCCGGAAAAGATGGGTACATGTGACTCCCATACCCACCCTCCTGAGAGCATTCTGCACAGACGCGGTCTGTCCCGTCAACCAGGGCTCTGATCCAGAAGCTACGTGTGATCAGCTGTTGCATAAATTCATAACTGTGCTTTTTTCTGTCTTTCTCATGGGTTTTTTGCAGCGTCCCAGAACAGAACAGCTTATGACCCTCTCTTTTGAGCCACAGAACTTTCTTAGAATCTATCACTAGCAAAACACTCTCGGCCCTGAAAGGCCGATTCATCTCTGAACCAGGGAAGTGGAGAAATTTAGGTGAATGAGTCCCCTGACACTTACCTCAATTACCCTGATAACCTTTCTCAGTTTTCAGCTTTTGTAAAGTGTCTTCTGGCCGAATGAAGGCTGCTTTCAAGATCACAGTGTTGGAGTGTATTGCAGTTAAAGTTAAAACAAATTTAAATCGGCTTCTAGTTAATGGATGAAGTATACTGATGTCTGTAACTTACTTTGAATACACCAAAAAATAACAATAACAATAATAATAGTAATGACAATAAGGTGGATCGATAAATGAATAGAAAGATGAATAAATGGATAGATACACGAGACAGTAAATACAGTAAAATGTTCATTGTAGAATGTAGATGGTGGTGTGTGGGTGCTTTGACTTCTTTTAACTTTTCTGTATTTTGAAACTTTTTTTTTCTTTTATTTCAGCATATTATTTTGAAACTTTTTATGATACGATTTTAGGAAAAAATAATTTGAATCAAAGTGGGAATTGGGGCTAGAAGGGTTCCATAAAGACACTCCCCTTTGTCTGCTTTCTTTGCTTCTGACTGGAGCACCTCGTACACAGTACAATTCAATGAATGTCTGTTGAAACAAGCTGTCGAACTAAATTGGAAGCTACTAGGTCACTTCCACACCTGGCAGGATTCTTCTACAGCATGAGTTGGCAATTTTTTTCTATGAAGGCCAGACAGTAAATATTTGAGACTTCATAGGCATACAGTCTCTGTCACAACTACTCAGCTCTGCCGTTGTAGACCGAAAGCAACCATAGACAATACGCAAACAAATAGCAGCTGTGTGCCAATAAACTTTATTCACAAAAACAAGTGGTGCTCATAGTTTGCCAGCTCCATCTAGACCCCAAATCGTTACCTCCCACTAAAAATGGGAGTAAAATTGATAAAATGCCAACAGTCTATGTAAAGGTTTTATAGGTCTCAGGAAAGGTCGTAACAAAAGGAAACAACAAACCTTTGTGTGTACCTCCGCCCCCTGCTCACCCATTTCCTTCCATAAGGAACAGGGTAGGGCAATTTGTTCCACCACTGAACCTGAGGTTTGGTGTGCAAGCACCCTTAGGAGAGAGGTGGTATGTTAATCTTCAATTTCAGTAAGTGTGAGCGATTCGCATCAGATCTCGACCTCCAAGCAGATCATTTTAGCACCAGAAGGAACAAGTGCAGGAGGCAATGGAGTGATGCCCCCAGTGAAGAGGTGGATACCCGTGAAAAAAGCTCAGGCTGCAGATATAAGCTGTCGGAGCCCGTGTGGGCTTACTCTTTAGTGAGGAGAGACAGACAATAAAGGTAATAAATAAGTAAGTTATGCATTATGTTATACGGTGATAAGTGCTATGGGAACAAGAAAAAGTACAGCAGAGTAAGGGAGACTGGAGTGCCGAGTGGGGGTGAGGCTGTAGTGTTAAACAGGGTGGTCTGGGTAGAGCTCATGAAGAAGATGGCATTCGAAGCAGAGCCCAAAGATGACGAAATGAGCCAGGCAGATATCTGGGACAGTTCACCAACAAGAGGATACCACCAATGCAAAGGCCCTGGGGCAGATGGTGTTCAGAATATGGGAGGCATAGCAAGGAGGCCAGTTTTAGAAGTGGTAAAACAAAGTAGAATAGTCATGAGATGACGTTAGACACAGTACTAGGAGACCAAAAGAAGGGGAGGACCATTGGAGAGTTCAGACTGGAGACGTGGTAAGATTTGACTTCATTTAAAAGAATTATTCTGGCTTCTCAGTGGAGAATAGACTACAAGGGCAAGCAAGAGTGGAAGAGAGAATAGTCAGGAGGCTATAGCAATATTCCCCATGAGGGGTAATGGCAACTCAGACCAGTAGGTGGCAGTAGAAGTATTGAAAAGTGGCCAAACTTGGGGTACATTTTGAAGACAGAGCTAACCGTATTTCATGAAGGATTGGACATTGGATGTAAGGGAAAGGTAAGAGTCGAGAGTGATTCCATATTCTTTGGCCTGAACAACTGGAAGTTTCTCCCTCTCCCTTCCCTCTTCCCACCCCTTCTCCTCTCCCTCTCCCCCTCATAAAATGGGTCCTACCAAGTTCTTTCTTATTCTAAAAATGTAAGCACAAGTAAACAAGCTTGTTCACTTCATGAAGTCAAATTATCCCATGCTGTGTCCCTTTAGCTGTTGCCTGCTAACGGCTTGCATAAACAAGCTTTAGAGAAAATTCCTAAGATTCTCACTGGGTGAAGGTGACAATGCAGACTATAAAATTTGAGTCAATTAAATCATGTTATCAAAATAGTAGGTTGCCAAAAGTTAGCCTTTAACTAAAATCATGGAAAATACAAAGCCAAAGAAAGGTTCAGGAGAAGTAGCAGAGGAAGTGAATGAATAGAATAAGTAAATAAATCTGTGACATTTTGACTTAGAGGAAACCACTCCTCCCAGCTGCCCTTAAGTGTTTTAAGCCCCAAGAAGGGATGGAAATCCCGACAGATTGTGCCCAGGTGTTTCCACAGTTCTACCACCTCCTTCTTCCCCTCCCTTAAATTTACTTTTTATTCTAGAATTGATCTTTTGCCATGTTACCACATATAAGCAGTGGAATAAGTACAAATTGCCATGTGGGAAAGGAAGCTAGTTAGCAGAGTGTGGAATTAATTTATTTGGGCAGGTTGTTATGCTACTGTTATTCTGCTTCACCCTCCCTTTCTCGGATGACTACATACTTTATTCCCAGAGGATGGAGAACTATTTGGAATTTATCAGTGACTTTTATGTGCTCTCAGGATGTAAGCTACACTCTTTTGAATTCTTCTGAACGACCCTTTGCCCTTCCCAAATTCCAGTTTCCAAACAGAAATATTAAAGATATCTTTGCAAGTTATTTTTCACACATTCTGCTGTAATTAAACCATTACTTGTGGTTCTTCCCTCACTAGGCATAAGCCCTCTGCAGATGTGGGCTGCCTCTGCTCCCTTTGCTGTTATGTCTCAAACCCCTAACAGTGCTCAGCAAACGAATGAATAGAAACGAAACTGATCCCGTGTCCACTCGAAAGAATATTTCATTCTCTTCTGCCCACCCAAGACGTCATCACATCATAGAAGTTTACAAATAGGTTAAAGTATCCAACAATTTTTAAGTTAATACAGTGTGTCAATGCATGCCAAAAGGATGATTAATTTTCTTAGCTATGCACAGTGGGGGCTAAAATATGTCATTAGATTTATTATACATGAACAGCCAGTGTGCACCAGAAAAAATGGTGGAATGGATAAAAGGCAAAAGCTGTGATCTTGTCATAATGATGTCAAGTGGCAATCACATTTTTTCAATGCAATCCAGGTGCATCATACCTTAGCAAAACCAATCTCTTCCATTTCTGGATTTCTTAATAATTTAAACTGTGGAAATATGCTCCTTGTTGGTCATATTAACTGTTCTTCTCCGTCATATGTTCTGCCGCCTGCCTTTGTCCAAGTGTTCGGTTGAACTTTTCATTGCTTATTCTCTGTGCACTTTGGCGTTACCTAATGGTTTCCTGACCCGTGTGAGAGAAGTCAGCGTCAGCAGTCGGGTTTTGCCGAGATGTTTTCTTGTCCTTTCCAGCATAGAGCTCTACAAACAAAGGCGGGGTTATCACATGTACCCGAGAGTTGCCTGGGAAAAGTAGGAGCTGTAGTTATCAAAGTTGGAACCTTTATAAAATATGCTTTTGTCTCCGTTTTTGTTACGTTCAATCAAATCAACAAGTGTTGGCTAAGTGTTGAGCGTGGTTTCCTGTGGGATTGTGTAAGGCCCTGCAGGACAATAAACGTTTTGGGGGCACTGAGTAATGTAGTCATTTCTGACCCAGCAGCCGGGAAAATGTGAGACAATTTGCTGCCGCTGGGAAGAGAACAGCTCGGGCTGTGTTCCTGCAAGAGCAGAATAACCACCGCGGCAGACCCGGGCGACGACGGAACAAGCCAAGATGGTGCGTTTAAGCGGCAGGTGGCTACGCAGTGTCATATCCTACAGGAAAATAGATTCGGTTCCAGGTGTTGTGGGGTCTGAAGCTTACAAACTTTGGGGAGCCCACTTTAAGAAAAATAGTACAAAATTATGAATATGAAATTGCTAGGGCTTGCTTCCCCCTCGACTTTGGATGGAACCAAGTAATTTGGGGGCCAGAGGCTAGAACTGCTGTAGTTTCACTGTACATTGCTCCCTCGATCAAAAGCTCAGTCCGGGAAGCTGTCAGGTTGTGTGCATATCACCACCAGTTCTAGCTACCTTTGTGCTATTTCCTCTGCTGACTTTCTCCGTACTATTCTTTAGGCATTACCTTTTAGCAACTTTTCGTATTGGCTTCATAACTGCTTCCAAAGGGACAAAGAGATGTTAGTTAGACCTTCTTTTCTGAGTGTTTTTATGATGTTATTTTAGCTACAAATATTTGTTCTCAGGTTCCTGAAGTCTCTCTAAATCAGAGGCTTGGGGGTATTTTAGATGGAGGTAGAAAGATGGAAGGGAGATGAACCATACGGTTGTGACCACATTGACATAATTTTGAAAGTTCTTGTGGACCACAATGATTTCATTGGATTTAAAAAGTAGGACAACTATATTGTGGTTTATATAAATGCTTCTCAAGCTCTCCTGGGCATGTGGATTGCCTCGGGATCTCGCTAAAATGCACATTCTGCTGCATTAGGTCTGGGGTGGGACCCGAGAGTCTGCATCTCTAACAAGCCCCCAGGTGACGCCAGTGCACAGTCCGTGGACGACACTTTGAGTAACATCCAAGTATTTATTTGTAAGGAATATGGTGGCACAAATACACAGTCAGTAAGGGCCTGGTTCCACCTGATTTTAAGGTAACTAGTCCCAGGATGGAAAGTCTGTAACAAACCTATGAACTGGTAGGTGCTTGTTGACATGAGAATACATGAGGGGGGTCTTACTGCCTTCCATCAGCTCCTAGCCCCAGGAGCCGGGGGAGGGGGAGGGGAAGTGAAATTTTATCATTAAGGATCATTTCATCGCCTTCAGTCTTTTAACTTTGCTATGGTCTCTTATTTTAAACTTTGCTTATGGAGTAATGAGGGGAAGGGGCATAGGTTTCCAGAACATCTACTAGGGTGCTGGTCACTGTACTGCCATTTTCTCTTGACTCCTTATAACCTTTCAAAGTGATTATTGTTTTACTCACATTACAGATGGGGAAGCTGAGGTTTAGCAGGGTTAAGTAACATGCCAGTTTGCATAGAGACAAAGTAGGGATTTGAACCCTCTAAAGCTTGCTGCTTTTGCCAACACTGACTTACATCATCTAAGCAGTGTTATGTGTTAAACTAATTCAGCATAAGATGCTACCTCAGGGATTTGTTACTTTTTGCTTTTATCCTAAGGAAGGTGCCCAGAGAGGGTGCCCTGGACAGAAGGGAGGAAACAGAAGGCAAGAGGTTGCCAGAAAGAAGGAAGGGCTTAGAGAAGATCTATGAGGCACTGAAAATGAATCTCACACCCAAAGCAGATTATAGCTCCCACAGGCATAGCACTGGAATTCTTGTCTCCATTGTGAGAAAAAGGTCTTCCAAAAGTGTTTGGTTTTCATAAATTCATCTTGGAACAATTAACTTCCTGTCTCCTGCGTAACAGCATATGAAATGAGGATCCAGCAGGTTCTGTGCGGCCGGTATTTTTCTTTGGCCAGCATCGTAAGACTTTTGAACCACTTTACCCGATTCTGAGTCAAACCTTTTGCTCTTGTTTAAACTTACCATCATATTTTGTTCTGTTATTTAGCTGGAAGATAAGTGGACCTGGCCTTGAGCAAATATTTTAAGATCAAGTTTGTCACTTCCAGACCCGTCCCTCCTCCCATCCCACCCCGATCCCCACTTGGAGCATCTTCTCTCTCTTTCCTGCCCCCCCACCTCTATTGCCCTCTCCCCATGTGTGCTATTTTAATATCTTAACACCTATCAAAATCTTTAGCTAAATGACATGTAAAGTAAGAGGAGATAACTAAATCAAGCAAAGGGGTAAGGAATTGCTATCCTTGTGTCTCAATTTTAGAGGATAAAGCTTAAAGGCACCACCCTGAACCAGTCAGGGAATATACTTTTTGGTTGAGGGCACTTCCTTTCCTGCCTCCTGTTCCCCTTCTGCACCACTTAGAATTGATTCCAACTTTTGAGGTTGTATGCTCTTGAAACCTATTTTCAAAATATGGGTTAGAATTTTGCTATTTAGTATGGTCACGTCTTCTGATATTTCCCAGAAAATGTCCCTTGTATGGGTCTGGTAAGACCCAAATGCATGGCTAGTTCCACTGCACAGTATGCTTTAGCAAGGCTGTGGTATGTTTAGCTGAATGCGTAGATCTCTCTTAGTCTACTTACTACCATCATGGAATGGACCGTGCACCAGGCAGGACACCAGAATCTGGATCCCTGGGCCATATCTCTCAGGTCCCTGGTTCACGGTCCTGGCTAAGTCACCTAGGCTGCTGGGGCTCAGCATTGCATCTGTAAAATGACTTATAAGGTTCCTACTAGCTTTGACAGCTTATGGCTGCCTTCCTATGTTTAGGTCAGGGCACTCTCTGGTTTAGGAGGGGCACACAGAGGGCACGTCCTTCTCTAACGTTAGCATTATGGTCATGAACATGGGCTGTGGAGTTAGACTGCTGGGACTCAAATCCCAGCTACACCACACTAGCAGTGTGATCTGGGCAATTTATTTCTCTAACGCAGCTTCATCAGCTATCCTTCACAATGTCCTCCCCGCCAAAATACCTTTCTTGATTACCTTAAGAAAAAGTCAAATTTTCCTTCCTCAGGCCTTTCATAGCAAAGTGAATGGACTCCACTCTAGCACTTGCGTTGTTTCTTTCCGCCTTTTTCTTTTTTAATTATGATTGGTACCCACAGTGTGCCAAGCACTTTCTCATAGAGTTTCTCATTTAAGTCCTGTAAAGTGAAGGAGTCGTTCCCTATTGCACTTTACAGATCAGAAAACTGAAGGTTAGAACAGGGAAGGGGCTTGGCCAGGTTGACAGAGCTCACAAATGACAGTCCTGTAACCTCTCCAAGCCTTCTGAGTCCACCACCCCATAGCAACCTTGCATATTAATTAGTTATGGAACCTGTCTCTCAAACCTGTTCGTTGTCACTCATGGCCATGGAAAGCTGATCTTTATTTCTGGAACAAATCACTCAATATTGGGCACACTGTAGGCTCAAAGTCAAGTGTGCCAAATAGAAATGCCAAATTGAATTTCTTACTCTCACTGTATCATTTCCTTATAAATCCTAAATAATCGTAGTGATTACAAGTCATGTTAATTCAATGTGCACCTTTTATGCATGTAAGATGTTACATAATGGTTGCTGGCTTTCTTATAGAAAATACTATATTGATTTCTGCCCGTTTCATGGGTTTTATTTATTTATTTGCCTCCCCTGTGCTTTAATCTCATTTTAGTCTCATGTGCTTATGGAAATAGGCAGCCTGGGCTATTTGGTAAGCAAATCGATATATCTATTCTGTGGGGATGGTAATATGAAAGTCCAGCCATATCCCACCAGCTCCTCTATGGAAATGGATTTGTGGTTAATACTGACTAGGTTTAGCATCTCATTTTACTTTGAAAGTTGTTTTTTTTACCTTCCCAACTGAATTTCCCTTAAATAACGGTAGGCAGAGCAGAGTTTGCTAGTTGTTGGACAGGCATTTAAGTGGTACCTAAGCCCTATTTATTTATTGTCCTAGTGCAAGGAAGGAGACATTGCATTTCTAAAAATTAGTCATCAGCAATTATCACCTCCTATACCAAGAGAGACCATAGAAATGCCTTCAATTTAGAATCTAGGCTATTTAGAGGAGAAAGGAGAAGTATAAGGAAGGGACAGAAGCAAAGAAAAGGGGAAAGGCAGGTCCCAGCCTGACCAAAAGCCACATAGCTTGTCTTAGAAGAAACTGATCTGGAGATGACAAAAGCTTGAGTCATCAAAATGGGGTTCTTCAAGATTGTTAGGAAGCCTTGGGAGTCTAACTTAGGGAGCGGAGCTTTGAAGGACTGGCCTTCTTGGATGGAACTTCACAGACATGTGGCTTCCGGTGTTTGTTACATGACAACAACAGATTACAGACCTATGTGCACAGTATGTGAACCTATCTTTGAGAAAATAAACACAGAAAAGAAAAACATCTAGAGATGTGCTAACCATCTTTTGCTTTTGCCTGTCTGTAGTTCTTGGTTTTATAGAATCAATATATATCACATATGATTTTTAAAATGAAATCCAATAAGTTCACAAAGGGCAGGATTTTGGAATGAACAATTATGTTGAAATTTCACAAATTATGTTACATCAGATGCAACAACGCTTGTAAACGCTTGGAGATTTATTGGAGAAGGTGCTCGAGGGCTTGATACTTTCCCTTGTACTCAATGTTCTTCTTCCCTTCAATGCACAGAGGCAACTTGTGAATCTGTCAGTGGTTTCTGTGACTCACCTTATTAATTTTTAATATAAAATTCCAAAAAGCCCATCTTTAGTGTGATGCATGCGAAAGTTCTATAAACAGAAAAGTGTGTATACCACCATGCAGTATACATACGCAGGAAAGACTGCATATGACCTTGGACACTGGGTTTTGCATTTTTAAAAGTGTTCTTTTTTTTCAGATTTATTTACATATTTATTTATAAGTATTGAGACATTTATACCAGGCAGTAAATACATTAAACTCTTCTGAGCATCCATTTGAGCAAAGCACAATGCTAGAGATACTAGGAATAAAAAGCAACAAAATAAAAAGTCCTTTTATCACAGAAATTAGGGAAACCCCCTATGCCTTAAAACAACAATACAAGGCTTAAAGCGATTTCAGAACCAGTAAAAATACTGTTTTGAGCCAAAGCTAAACAGGGTTCTTTCCACCACATTGGGAAGTCTTAATATATGGGAAAGTTTCCAATGAGCATTATCAGTTTTTAGGTTCTAGAGCTCTCTCTTCATGGGGTAGGTGAAGAGAGAAGACTTCACAAAGGATTACATAGGTCGTGAAGGATGGGACACGCGTAAGAACAAGGGACTGACATTGTGAAGTTAGGTTTTAAAAGTGTTCTTAATGTCGCATGTTGATTCACCATCTGAAAAAATTTTAAAAAGTAAATTTTCTATTCAACTAACCAGATCTATTTAATTGGCACTCTGCTTTAAGGATTAATGTTTTTAGCTGTGGATTTAAAAGAAATTTGACAAGTTTCCACAGTTTTCTCCTTCTGCTTTATTAGTAAATTTTTTAAATGTAGAAATGCAAATGGTAAAAGTACCCTATGACTATGTCCAGTATGGTATGGCTTCTCCAGAAGGGACTTTCACTCACAAAAAGTAGACCCTTATAGTTTCCATAAGTCTTTAAGCAAATTCTCTTTTAGACATGGACTTTGGATGTAGAAAATAAGCTTATCGGAGAAGGCAGGTATGTAGAGTTCACGATGGAGGCAGAGATGAAAGGTAGGCATGCTATCTGCCTCCTTAGGTCCTACCAGCTCTGCTACACCCTAATCTCTGCCTTGTCTTTGAGTCTTGGGCAAAGAAACCAGTGACTATAGTGAATAACAATCATTGTGCTGAAAAGAAAGTCATTCTACTTTTGCAAAAGAATTATCCTTTTGTAAAATAGATAAAACAATATCTGAAACAAAAGGTAACCAAGGCTTTAATTATATTTAATATATAAGGTTTCCAATCTTCTGCCTAAAAATCAAACAATACCTTTGAAGAACATTTTAGGGATTAATAAATGGTCTCCTGATCTACATAAATAAATAATAAAAGCTGCTTTTTTAAATTCCCAGTTTCAGAGTCGCGCAATCTATATCGATAGGAAACCGAGTGGGGACTGACTGCAGTTTATTCAACGCCAGGCTGTATTTCTTAGTGTCACTTTCTTTCTACTCCCCTGTCATAGTGGGTCAGTGAGAAGTACCCCTTAGTGATTGGACGGGTTCACTCGGCATCTGCCTCCATCTAGACAGAGCAGTGCCTGTGTGGATGCTTCCTGATCAAGAGTGATAAATAGGATGCAAATGTCTTCTTTTTAATACATGACCCTGGCATAGCCAGAAGAAATGTGAGTGAAGGTGCCTCAAAGCAGTAACTTTTTGCTTAGAGCTTGAGAGTTAAAGTTAAGGACCCACACATATACTTCGGCTCTAGCGAGTCTAAGGTGAGTAAAATCAATTACCTTTAGATTATCAATAAACAAAAATCTTAACTATTGGGTATCTGACTGCAAACCATGATGCAATTTCACAAAGGAAAGAAGAACATGAGCAAGTTTGCCTCCGTGGCCACTGCTTAACATTGCTACTTTTCATGGTCAGACCAGATAGCAGACTAAGGATTAAAGCAACAGTCTTAGTGGAACTAGAAAATTAATGCATTTTTTTTTCAGAAATACCTTGTTTTGATGCTTTACATTGGAAGAAAAAGCGAGAGTGATTTTTATTTTGTAAACGTACTAATTTTTTTCAGTTCTTTTAAATCTCTTTTGGTAGCATTTTTTATTGTACCCTCATATATTTTCCTCATTTTATTCTATCTTGGGCATTCACTTTGATTTAAAATTTTCAGAAATATTGAAAATTATACCTTTTTAAAATGTATACCAAATTATGCCTTTTATGTTAAAGATCTGGTCATGATCAAGGGCTGTGGGTGTCACAATGATGTCAGTGTCTCACAGTGGTTTGTGGATAATTTGGTCAAACCATTGGCCACATTAATGGAGAGAAATTTTGGTTAATCAATCACTTCATACATGGTGAGCTGCCTGGAGTTCAAATTTTTAGAAGTTTTATCATATACAATTGAATTCAACAGGCACTTACGGAATGTTTAAGAAATAAGGAGGATTTTGATGAGGTGGTTTGGAGGGTGGTGCAAAGATGGTGAATTTATGATCCACAGTGGGAAATGAGTCAAACACATAAAATACTTTTTAAAAATCAACATATTTATAAAACAAAGGCAGTAGAAGAAACTGTAGGTGTTGTGTAGTTTACGCTATAATCCTAAATCAGTCTCATTTTTTAAAATTAGCATTTATATTATTCCTGGATGGGAAATAATTGAATGAAAAAATATGAAGGCTAGAAGAGAACCTAGCTAAATGTTGCAAACACTCATTTTACTTATTTTATTTTGTTTAGGATGATAATATAGATACAAAACCCATTCTAGAAGAACTGCTTCTCAAAAGGTCACAGCAAAAGAAGAAAATGTCACCAAATAATTATAAAGAGCGGCTTTTTGTGTTGACCAAAACAAATCTTTCCTACTATGAATATGACAAAATGGTGAGACATATTTATTCCATTGTTTTTATACAATTTATTAGTTTTTCTAAGTCTCCACTAAGTGCTTGATTATAATGAAAGAATATTAGGTCTCTTAACTCACACTGTAAAGATCCACTTCTGTCCACTTATCACACTGCGTTTTCTTAATCTAGATATAATGAATTCAAGATAAAGGATTTTAAAACATTAGTTAACTTTACTAAGGCAACTTATAAGTTTAGAACAGTGGTTCTCAACTGAGGGTACTTTTGCCCCCTAAGGGGGATTGGGCAATGACTGGAGACATTTTTGGTTGTCACAACTGGAGGAGGGGACTACAAATGTGACTGGCATCTAGTGGGTAGAGGCCAGGGATGCTGTTAAACATCCTACGGTGCGCAGGACAGCCCCCGACAAAGAATTATCCAGCCCCACAAAGTAATTGTGCTGAGGATCAGAAACACTGCCTTGGGACAGTGCTGGAAATAAGACTACTTCTTGACAGTTGAGAATTTTATCATAGTAGAAATACTGAAATACTGCTATAAAACTGAAACAAAGTGAAGATGCTTTGAGGAGTTAAATCTTTTCCTGAGTACATTAACAACATGGTAGATGATTTGAAACACATTTCAAAATTATCAAACAAGATTACTAACTACTGCTTAAAGACTGACTTTTGGAGAGTATATGTGTTTATGTCCACACTCAAGAAATATATTGTGTTGTCATTGGATTTTGATTATTATGGAGTAATAGGAAGTGATTCTCCATTGCCTACCGCATCCTCCAATGTCCTGCCCAAGCATAACTTTAGCTTTATGCTTTTCCTTGTGCATCATGGCGCATCGCATGAAGTATCTTACATTTTGTTTTTTGATTCAGAAAAGAGGCAGCAGGAAAGGATCAATCGAAATTAAGAAAATCAGATGCGTGGAGAAAGTAAATCTCGAGGAGCAGACACCCGTGGAGAGACAGTATCCATTTCAGGTAAAGGGAGGAATGACATTACATTGGATGGATGGTTCTTCCTTTAATCTTTTTTATTATGAACTCAGTATATCTAGGAAAAATTATGATATTGCAAAATGACCCATTGAGACAATGACAAGGCTTGAGATATTTCCAGATGGGCATTGGGCAGTTTGCTAAAGATCTGTCCATGAATCTGCCTTCCCTGGAGGGAGGGGAAGCAAGACGAGCGTGCCAGTTGCAGTGGCCTGACCTGCCTCGGGTCTGACAATCTCTTTTAACAGGGACTGTTGAGTGTCTGATGTGCTACGTGGTAGTAGGCATACTACAGGGAATAAAACACTGACCCTGCCCCAAGACACTTACAAAGAGGTGGCAAAATAGACTAATGCACAGACCATTATAAGGCAGTGAGGGTGAGTGTTAAGATGGAGGTCAGCAGAGTGCATCCATGGAGTCCAAGGACACAGAAGCTTCATGCCTCACTTCAAGAGGTCAGGGAGGTGTTCTATTGGAGGTGACACTCAGGTTGGGAAGGACAAGTAGAATTTAACCCAGGAAAGATGGAATAAGCAGCAGGACAAAAGAAGCAGCAGGTGTCAAGGCACAGATGGGTGAAATAGCATGGCATGTGTGTTTGGAGAGCTCCAAGTAGTTCCTATGAATAAAGCAGCTCATGAGAGGGTGAAATAGATGAGTCTGGAGAGGTGGACAGGACTCAGGAAGGGCCTTTTCACACCACGTTAAGGAGTTTTCATTTTATTTTGAAGTATTTTAAACACTGGTATGCTATGGAGAGTATGCCTATAGTACCTTTTGGAAGTGGCTTAATCTAAGGCACGCCCTACTTTTATTATATCACGAATACTTACCTTTCTGATCTAAAGGCAGACAGATTGTCTTTCAGATGGCCAGACTACCCAGTACTAATATTAGGGACCTCTGGTCCAAAATGAAATACAATAATCCAGTTGATGCACAACTCATACTTTCACTTAAAGAAATATTACCCAATTGGGAGAAACCAGGGGAGGACATGCTTATGGAAGATGCTGCAAGCTCACATCACAGAGACATAGGGTGCTCAAGAAAAACAGGCTTTGGAGCCCCACCAACCTCCAAGGCCCACCACTTATGTAGCCATAAACACATACACAACTTCTTTCTGAATGTTTCCTCATTTGTAAAAAGGCATACTCATATATTTTTTCATACAGTTGAATTACGATTAAAATACTTAAATAGCTAGGAATGAGCCCAGCAACCAGTAGGTGTTTAATAACTGCTCTGTATTATTTACCAACAAGAGTTGAATAAACTAGAGAAGGATTTGGAGAAGGCATTATAATCTTCAAACGTTTAAACAATTCTCTTAAGGAATAGAAAATGACTTATTCTGGGGATTCCTGGGGTGCAACAGACTTAAGTAACAGGAAGACATATTTTGACTCAATGCAAGTATGAACTATATAATGATCAGAATGTATGGAAATTGGCAAAGATGGCATAGCAAAGTAAAGAACATCCCAGCCCTAAAGATATTTTTAAGGATACAGCAGTTAAACATTTTCCAATGGGCAGTAAAGAGAATCATGCACTGAGCAGGTGGATGGACCAGAACCCTCCTGAGACATGTGTAATGTCTAACTATTATAATGCTCCATGATCCAGGACATTCCTGCTGAGACCTCAATGTTCACCACTGTCAGATGCATCATTGCTGTGATTTTCCAAAGTGTAGGAGTGTCTGGGATAAAACAAATTGAGGGTTGGAAGATTTTTAAAAGTAAATTTTTTTCATCTAATTCCAGAGCTAATGTATACTATACAAGCAAACTCAAGGTTTCTTTTGGATAACAAAAAATTTGAGTGAACTATGATCCAATTGTATCTAAATGCACCAAATCTTTTCCTTTCCAGATCGTCTATAAAGATGGACTTCTCTATGTGTATGCATCAAATGAAGAGAGTCGGAGTCAGTGGTTGAAAGCATTACAAAAAGGTAATTAAAAAAAGAATTTTTTAAAAAAGAAATGTTGAAAAAGAAAGGTCAAAAAAATGTCATAGAGTCATCAATTGAGTTCTTTTGAGGCTTGGTGGAGGAAAGAGATGGCCGTAAAAGGACCCAATGCCAACAGAGAATCTACTGATTTTCCTACCAACCTCAGGGAATGTGTCAGACTCATCCTCATTTTGCATTCTCATTGCTACATCCAGAAAGATTTCCTTTCCTGCTCCACACAGAGCCGGTATTGTGCCCTCCCAGCAGCCTGGGGGAAGCCAGGCCACCTGCTCTCCACCCACTGTGCCTGCCTTTACCAGGGCAAAGTCTAGGTCCCATGGGACTGTGTCAAATTTGTGGCTACTGTACTCTCAATGTTTATAGAAAGTTACATTTAATACTTACTAAGCACTTACGATTTGCCAGCTACTTTATCAAGTTCTCGTAAAACATTTTCTTAGGTAATCTTCTTGACAACTCTATGGAAAGGGGTAATATTATTCTCCATTTTTCAGACAAGTGAAGTTTAAAATACATGGCCAATGTCACACACCTAGTAACGGAGGGCTTGGAATTCTATTACCCAAACCCAATTTTGTAACCAGTACATTGTAAATGCTAGGCAAGATTGAAGATTTAATGAAGCTTTTTATTCAGTGATTTTTAGGCTGCCCTGGTAACAACCTCTGGTAGAAGGGAGAGAATCGTTGTTAGTAATTTGGTACTATGATGTTTCCCTCTGTAATATTTTTATTTTAAAGGTGAGTAATGGTTTAAGGACAATATTTGACTCAAAGGAATGACCCTATTTGTGGAATTTTAGGTATTAAGCTCCTAGATGGAAGAAGATTTTATTTTATTTAAGTTTTAGATTATGGCTCTTTCTCAGTACAACTCAAATTACACACACCTACTTCACTTTGATGCAAATACATTCTTTTTCACACATAGGGCTTAATTTCCCCTTTGCGTAAAAAAGTTTAGCAATCCATTCTGTAGGATAATCAGGTGGTCCATTGGGAGCCACCCACCACCAGCTCATTGAAGTGAGAAGGGCATCCCTCTTAGAGTCAGACAAACCTAAAGCCAAGTCCTGGTTTGCTGTCTTATCTAACAAAACCATCTAACTACCCGAAGGATGGACATATTTGAAACACGGACTTCGGTGGGGTGGGGGGGAACCAAGGGCAACACACGTAACCTAAACATATGTACACCCATAATTTGCTGAAATAAAAAAAAAATAATAAAAACAAACAAACAAACAAAAAAACCATCTAACATCTCTGGGTCTCAGTTTCCTGACCTATAAAATGAGAGATCAGATTTCCTTTCTCCTAAAGTGGTCATGAGACACTCTTAAATATATTAAAGTATACTACACACAAGCATGAGTCACTGTGGTTATAGTGGGGCTTCCAGGGGAAGCTCTAAGGTTCTGCTACCCATTTAGTCTCTTTGGGGGGAATTTCCTGGGGGGGCGACAGTTGCTATGTAGACACATCCTGTGTATAGCTCTTGGTCATGCCCTAGGTCTCCCTTTGTGGGTCCTTCTGGAACTATATATGTTGGACAGGTTCAGATGGCCCCCGGGGCAGCTCATGTAAGAACATATGAAATGTAAAGGAAGATCAGAGAAAAGCAAAAACGTATCTCCTAGCCCCTCATAAAACTACAGCGGCCCCATCACCAGGACTGCCATATGGACAGTATGTTATTTGTATCAGGTGGTAATGCTTTGGTCTGCAAGTAAAAAGACACCCAACAGTTGCTGAAACAAATTCACTTTCGTTCTTGTCCCACAGTAACAAATCCAGATGTAGGCAGTCCAGGGCTAGTGCGGCAGCTCAGTGAAGTCAGTCGGGATGCAGGATCCTTCTAGCCTTCTGCTTTGCCACCCTTAGAGGCTCCCTGAGGGGTTCTGAGCTTTCTTAGCACCCCCCCTGCAAAATTTGGCTCGTGTCATAGTCTGGAGCTATGTCTCCTGGCCATCTCTATGTGCAAAGGAAGTAAGAAGACAGCATCTGTTTTCTCCAGCCTCTCTGCTGGAAGACAGTGGAAGAGAAGGTGAGCGAGCTTGGCTGTCAAGTTGGCCAACCAACCAGCCACAGGAAAACAGGCTCCCTCACTGAAACTTCCCCTACAAAGTTTCATTGTGATACAATGGCTCCTCCCTTTTTGTGTCTACTATTTGGCCCAAGTGTTATAAACTGAGGTAGACATCGGAGGCATAGAATTTTCCAGATGATAACCTACACTTGGAAGGTTTAGGCTGATTTGGTGGTGACTTAAGGAGTGTTAGCTACCATGGTTCTGAATTCAACTAACCAGATGTGGATAAAGTATGCCATTCCTTCCAAATATTAAAACTGAAGGGGGTTTGGCAGAGAGAAGTTGGCATCTGTGCATTAGAATGTAGTAGAAAAGGCCTGGGGCTGAGTCTCAGATCTGCTATTATTAGACTTGTGAACTTGAGCAACTTATACCACCTTTCTGCCCCTCCATTTATCTAACACTGTGTAAGCCATGATAATAATAATAGCTATCCCTCAGGGTTGTTGAATAGATTAAATGAGATGGTACATGTGAAGGAAAATATGTAAATGTAAAGTCCTGTATAGATATTAATATATGAGCTCCTCTTACTGGCATTATACAGGTGGTGGGAGTGTTGCAATGTGGATTTTGGGACGTGGCTGGAAAAAGAATTAGTGACCCAGGAAACTAAATCCATGCAGTAAGAAATAGTAGTAATCCTGACATGTGTAGACCAGGACCTTAGAGAGCAGGAACGCAAGTAATGTGCCTGAAGAATTACAATGACCATTTGGAGCAAAGATAAGAAACTTGCGGTTTGTAATCTTAACTCTTTTTGCTGTTTGTGATATCTGTAATAATTTTCCTTTAATTCTTATTAGTAAGGTTTTTTAATGTCAGAATTTAAGCTGGACAGAGTTAAACTAAAGGAATGATATCACTAAAGCCGTTGTTCATTGAACACCTAGTCTGGGCCAAACACTGCAGGATGCTTTATACACATTATCTCATATCCTCCCATTGTCCCAGCAAAATAGTTATTATTATCTCCATACACTTCCTTGAGTCAGGGTTGTAAAGGAGAAGCAGAACTTTCCTGGGATCAAAATAAGGAATCCTCAAGATGAACATAAAATCAAGAGGGAAAGAGTTGAAGCCACACATAGAACCGGACCTCCCCACCTAGGGACTCTTTTTAAAATACTCTCTACTAAAACCCTGAAGGTTTCTTTGTTGTATTTCAAAAGAGGCTAATTTGTGATAGACACAGTTTTACATTTGAAGATTAGAATTTCATTTCGTTGAATTACACATTGCCCTATTCCCATGGCTTTTTTTAATATCCACATATTCCCAGAAAAGCAGCCCCATAAACAATTCGTGCCTCAGTATAAACATGTCAAAGTCATGAAAGTCAAAGAAGGGATGAGAAACTCTTCTAAATTAACTAAATAACTAAACATCATATAAGACTAAATTGGATCCTTGATCGGAAAAATGTAAGTGATTATAAAGACTATCATTGGAACAATTGGGGAAATTTTGAATATGAAATATACATTAAGTAATATTGTATCATTGTTAAATTTCCTGAATTTAATAATTGTATTATGATTATGTAAGAGAATGTCTTTGTTAATAGACGTTACATGCTGAAGCATTTATGGGTGACATTATTTAGGTCATAATGTCTGCTACTTACTCTCGAATTATTAAGCACAATATAATAATGATAAAAAATTTAAATAATAATATGTACCTACAGAGAGAAAGAGATGAAGCAAATGTGGCAAACAGTCAACAATTAAGGAATCTGGGTAAAGGGTATATGGATGTTCATTGTATTGTTCTTGCAACTTTTCTGTGTCATTTGAAATTTTTCAAAATAAAAAGTGAGGGGAAGTGTATATTTATCAGAACCTTTTTTCTTTTTGATAAGATCTAGTCCTACCCTCCAGCCTCCTTCTGCCACAAGAGAACACCGTCATGTGCTGTAACCCACTCACTTCCTTTATGGTTGTATTTCTAAAGTCCTAACACCAAGCTGATCTGTAAATGCATATTTTTACTAGTTTTTTTCCTTCAAGAATGACACAAGTTATTGTGTTGTCCTCACTATACACATAGTAAGACTTTTGTTTTTTTCTTTTTGGCTTATTAACTTCTGAGTGAAAGACTTATATCCTTCGGGAACCATTTACTCTTACCTTGGTTGCTGGCCAAATGGGATTTTTATTGTTCTGTGATAACAGCACTTACTGAATGTGTTTCTTCTCTTGGGCCAACGTTTGCTCACATCTCATTTTCTTCCTGCCTGCTCCTCAGAGATAAGGGGCAACCCCCACCTGCTGATCAAGTACCACAGTGGATTCTTCGTGGATGGGAAGTTCTTGTGCTGCCAGCAGAGTTGTAAAGCGGCCCCAGGATGTACCCTCTGGGAAGCATGTAATGTGTGATTTCTCTGTTGGGCTAGACCCTGGGTGGATGAGGCCCTATTAAGCCAAACCTGCTAGAGATCAGAACAGCTTGTTGGAAAACAGTATGTGCCAGACTGGCTGGCATCATGAAAATTCAGGCTTGCAGATGTTATGTGACAAATGAAAACTAATTCTAGGGTCAATTGAGTCATGGCCATTAAAATAATAATAATATTAGCATCTGCCATTCTTTCATTTCGTGAGAAATATTTTAAAAACTAGAATCATTAATCAAGCAATGAGCTGTTATTTCCTCCCATAATTTTTCCTAGATTAAGATAAACTCCAAAGAGCTAGAGTGTTGTGGACATATCACCATGGGTCAAGCAGCAAAAACCAGCTCTGTCTTCTTAGTAATAACAAAAATAATAAACCCAAAAAAACCAACATTCTTTCAAAAAATATATTGAGAGGTAAAATTTAAGTAATACTTTTAATCACTATATACACCAAAATGATGATGGCCAAGTTTTAAAGAATATATTAAAGTGGTTTGCCATTCTGCATGTGTGTTGATTTCTTAATGACATCAGAGAAGGTA